GTAGAATGGTGTAAGCTGGTTGATTAACTAAAGTAGAATGGTGTAAGCTGGTTGATTAACTAAAGTAGAATGGTATAAGCTGGTTGATTAACTAAAGTAGAATGGTGTAAGCTGGTTGATTAACTAAAGTAGAATGGTGTAAGCTGGTTGATTAACTAAAGTAGAATGGGATAAGCTGGTTGATGTGTGTGTGTGTGTGTGCATTGTATTTAAACCTTAGCCAGTGAAGTGTGTACATCATTATATATTTTTCATTTCACTTCTTGGTCTTCATACCTGTATATGTAAAGTAAGAAATTTTTGTACTGAAGATAGAATTTATACGAACAAGATGGTTTCTGGTTATAAAATGGCTCCATGTAATTCATTTACCTCTTATTTTCATTGTGAGATATGTGATTGTGTTTTTCAAGAAATTCTGCATGAACTTAAAATATTTTGATGTTTGTAATCTCATTGGTTTTTTTTTCCCTCTCAGTTCATGGAGGTTGGGGTGATTGGAACCAGTGGTCAAGATGTTCTCTCTCCTGTGGAGGTGGAACAAGAGAAAGAAAAAGATTTTGTGATTTCCCACAGCCAGCCCATGGTGGTCGTTACTGTGGTGGGTCAGACACCCAAACTGACTACTGTAACAATGAACACTGTCCAGGTAACATATGTCTAGCAATGGGCAAAATTTGATTTTGTTGGTGTTACTTAGAAATAACACTTGTTGTATGAAGACACTGACATCGATTCTAGTGATAAATGTTTATTAAGTAGTTTGTAACTATACGTGATGATGGTTGTAACAACAGACTTTGTCCAAATGAGATAACATTGATTTTTGTCCAGGTAACATTCTCACAGTTTTTGTTTTTCGTTGTAATCATCTTCCAGAAAATTAAACTACAGTTTTTTTTCACTAGCGTTAAGCTTTGAAATTCCAGCATAATACAAATCTTGAGTTACTACTTTCGAGATTTATACCTAAATTAAAGTACTCTGTGGGGATATTTTACTCTCAGAAAGTTTTAACAGAGGAAATAAGAATTAGTTTGATAAACGTTATTGGTATAATAATTTTATTATCTTAATTATTATCGTAGTTAATAATATCTAATAAACTGTAATTCGTTTTGTCTAAATTTATAAACTTAGCTCATGGTGGGTGGTCGGCATGGTCTTCGTGGGGTGAGTGTTCTGCATCATGTAACAATGGACAGAGACGACGTTTCCGCAACTGTAATAACCCAGCACCCACTAATGGAGGACGTGCTTGTTTTGGGCCAAGCCAGGATACACAGACCTGTAATGCACACCACTGTCCAGGTTTGTTTAACTTTGGAATAGAAAGACCATGGTCACATATTTTTTTTTGCAGTTTTATAATTATACATAAATTACAAAAAAACCTCCTACTCGAAAGACACAAAATTACTGATAATCTGGGAGTCCATAACTCCCAGTGTTTTATTTAGCATCTCAAATCTCTCCCAAAAGAGGAGTCTCTTGGGAGTCAATGATTCCCAGTGTTTTATTTAGCATCTCAAATCTCTCCCAAAAGAGGAGTCTCTTGGGAGTCCATAATTCCCGGTGTTTTATTTAGCATCTCAAATCTCTCCCAAAAGAGGAGTTTCTTGGGAGTCCATAATTCCCAGCTTTTTATTTAGCATCTCAAATCTCTCCCAAAAGAGGAGTCTCTTGGGAGTCCATAATTCCCAGTTTTTATTTAGCATCTCAAATCTCTCCCAAATAAGGAGTATCTTGAGAGTCCATAAATCCCAGCTTTTTATTTAGCATCTCAAATCTCTCCCAAAAGAGGAGTCTCTTGGGAGTTCATAATTCCCAACTTTTTTATTTAGAATCCCAAATATCTCCCAAAAGATATTAGCTACATATAGTTAATATTGGTTTCTAATACGAGCCTATAATTCAATATTTACCATTTTCTTTAGAGTTTGGAGATAAACTGAATTAATCAATATTGTCAGTTAACTCTGAGTGTCAATTAGTATCACATAAAATTTTCAACTAACTGAAATTAGCATTTCTGATAATTATTTATTTTGGTTATTCTTGCTATCCAAATCATCAAAATATTGCCATTTTTATTTTACATTATCATTTTCAATTATTAATTTGGTTGCTCTAAACAGTAGTGTAATTTTCAGTTAATATGTTTCTTACTAATACAAGCTACAAACTTCACCAGTGTTACTTGGATAAGATTGATTTTAATGAAAATATTCAATATTCTTCCTTGACTAAGAGAAAATGTTACTTACTGAACAACTTGATCATTTATCTGTGTAATAATGTGTAACAATTTTGATGGCAAGGAATCCACTTTTTAGAAAATAAAAGTTTGGAGATGAATAGTGAAAGAAACGTTATTATAAATGTACAATGTTTGGACAAGCTTGTGTCATCATCAGGTACAAGTAGTTTACATAAACACAGTGTAGAACAAAGACGTCACATGGCCAGAGATTGCTTAACAGCTTAGTAAGTATATCTTGGTACGTTTTGTTCCAATAAGGTAGCTTCTTTTATTTGACATTTGTTGATGTTTGATTCTTTGTTTCAAATTACAGTGTTTTGTATAGACATACCTTGGTTTTTTCTTATTTGTGGTCAATTTAATAAATTAATGTTTATTTTCATCAACAAAAATTCAGTAGTCTTGTGAAAATGTATAGGAAGAAACCATAGAATGATGTTAGTTGTATTTTCAGCGTGTAACAGAAGTGAAATATTAAAGGGTAAGTTATATATTTTTATTTTTAATATGACATGCAATCAAATGTCTTTATAGCAGTCCCCCACATTATTTGGTAGACTCCCAAACTTTTAACATATGCAAGTCCTACTGACTCCCAAACTTTTAACATATGCAAGTCCTACTGACTGCCAAATGTTTAATACGTACAAGTCCTACTGACTGCCAAACGTTTAATACGTACAAGTCCTACTGACTGCCAAACATTTAATATGTACAAGTCCTGCTGACTGCCAAATGTTTAATACATACAAGTCCTGCTGACTGCCAAACGTTTAATACATACAAGTCCTACTGACTGCCAAACATTTAATACATACAAGTCCTGCTGACTGCCAAACGTTTAATACATACAAGTCCTGCTGACTGCCAAACGTTTAATACATACAAGTCCTGCTGACTGCCAAATGTTTAATGCGTACAAGTCTTGCTGACTGCAAAACTTTTAACATGTGCAAGTCCTACTGACTGCCAAACATTTAATACGTACAAGTCTTGCTGACTGCCAAATGTTTAATACGTACAAGTCCTACTGACTGCCAAACGTTTAATATGTACAAGTCCTGCTGACTGCCAAACGTTTAATACGTACAAGTCTTGCTGACTGCCAAACGTTTAATACGTACAAGTCTTGCTGACTGCCAAACATTTAATACGTACAAGTCTTGCTGACTGCCAAACATTTAATACGTACAAGTCTTGCTGACTCCCAAAATCTTAACATGTGCAAGTCCTGCTAAATCTCAAACTTGTATTAATGTGCAAGTCCTGCTAAATCTCAAACTTGTATTCATGTGCAAGTCTGGCCGACTCTCAAACTTTTTATACGTACGCAAGTCCTGCTGACAAGTTGTTATTAAAACAGAAGGTGATTGGATAACCTAATCAGTTAGGTGATCTCTGACACCTTTACAACTTAATACTAATGAGTGAAGACAAGTAAAGCACATTAATGCCATCAAGGTTGTTAAAAAGATATTGGTTGAAATATTCAGTACATTTTACTATTCATCTAATTGGTCCGGTTCTTTGAGAAAACTTCAGTTGATGTACGTTAATTGTGTTTGAAGAAGGAAGAAATTTATATGATAGTTGATTCTAAGTGTAAACAAAGTGCCTACTTTTTCTAATCCACCAGTGGATGGTAAGTGGTCATCCTGGAGTCAATGGTCAGTCTGTTCTGTCACTTGCGGTAGAGGAACCAGGGATAGGACACGAGAATGTAACGACCCTCCTGCTCAGCATGGTGGACGTGTGTGTGCTGGTGACACCACCCAGGTAGAAAAGTGCCACCACAGGGCTTGTGAAGGTATTGTTAATCAGAGTTTTATGTGCATACAGGGAGAACTGATTTTGGAAAGATGTGCAAAAAAAATATATCTAATTAGCTATGCTAACGGCAAGGTCGATTTTTAGTTTTGCTCTAAATACTTAGCTAATGCTAATCAGAATTTATTATATTAATTAGATTGTATAAAGGTTTAGAACAACCTTTACACTCCAGATAAATATAAAAGAATATATATATTTTTTTTTAAACGACCTTTACACTCCAGATAAATATAAAAGAATATATATTTTTTTTTAAACGTACCTTTACTACTCCAGATAAATATAAAGAATAATATATATTTTTTTTAAACGACCTTTACTACTACCAGTACTAATATAAAGAATATTATTATTTTTTAAACGAC